GATTAGAAATGTCTGAAACTTGGAATTAAGAGAGAATGCACCTTTCCCACAACACTCCCTTGGCCACTATAAAGTCAAGGCGCCTACGGGGTTGAGGGAAGGGATCTGCCGGCCGTGGACCGTACCATGTGAAGCCGTGGTCTTCAAGATTCATAAACCGAAAGGTGTCCACAAAATTTTGCGATTCGAGAAAGGACATCAATAATGTACTATCTGGTCTCAGAGGTGTAGCATCACGTGAGTCCAACCTGGGATTCAAGATGCTTTTCCAGTCACCCATAACAGCCATGTTTTCTGTGTCCGGTAGGCAGGCTGGTAAGTTGGCAAAAAACTATGACCTAATAATGTAATCATTAGGGGCATATACTGTCATAATCACCCATTCTTCTGCATCTAACATAGGATTCATGAAGACCTAACAAAAAAAAATTGTTAGGTTTGCACAAAATTTTTTAAAGATTCAAATAATACATTTTTCAGACCTCCTACATGAAAAAAAAAAGGTGACGTAAATTAACCGCAAAAAATGAATAGAAAAATATTTTTTTAGAACCATTGGAAGTGGTGAGGAGAGAAATCCGTTTTTTTATAAAAAGTCACTACCTTGCAAAGCACCGTTAGTTAAGTAACCAATATATCTCAATTTTTTATTTATCTAAAAAAATCATATTGATGGTTGTTTAAGGTATCTAACACGACAAACCTTTTCGGGGGTTTCCTAAACACGCACACATGTTCTCCTGTTCGCGAATACGTTCGCTTGAATATGTTATCTCATACATGGACGAAGATATTATTTTTTAGTGTTTTTCATTTATATATTTTTCTATTTTTTAATTTTAAATCGTGATTGGCTAAGAATTTGAAGATGTCTCCCAAGAAAAAGTTGTTTGAATTCTTCTTTTACATAACATATATTTTTTGACAAAGTTTTTACAGTTAACCTAAAATTTGCTAAAAATGGATTATATTAATTTATAGTTCTATAAATTAGTTTTCACAGAGCTTGGGTTGACCAAACTCCTGAAAACGGCTTATAGCTTTATAAATGAGTATTCAAATGTTTTTTTTTAACATTTTCGAGTTCGGCTTGCATTCCTTAAAGATTGTATTGTTTGAGCTATGTTTTTCGCCAATCTAATAGGAACGACTTATAGTCTTATAACATGCTCTTTACTCGAAAATATTTTCTTGCACATTTTGAGAACCGCTTGACTTTTTGCCCCTTTTTTTGCCTCCTTTCTTAGGAAACAGTTAAAAACGTTTTTTTTTTTATTTTACTTTTTCAATCTATAAAAAATGTTAGGTTTTGTGTTTTTTTATATTTTCACGAATTCAGTTTTCCAGGCCCATCGTCCGTCTGGGTCGGTATAACTGTCTAAAATTATGCAGTCGAGGCCACCCCTCCTTTGGTCCCATCAGCGGGAGCCCAAAATTGGGGGCCTGAAAACCACCACTGGCGAGACTCTACAATTTTCTTTTGATTTAACTTAGTTTCCTGAACACATAGTATGTGAGCATTTGCTGTGTGGGTCCAGGCTTAAATCCGTACTCCTTTTCCCTGTTCAAAGCCGAGTCCTTTAACATTCCAACTGAACACTGGATTCGTGAAAACCTAACAAAACGACAAAACCTCACATTTTTTATAGAAAAAGTAAAAGTCAAACTGTTATTTCTTACACAAAAAGATAACGTTTTTAACTATTTTTCGATAAAGGAGGCAGAAAACGAGGTGAAAAGTCAACTGCTCCTCAAAATGTGCGAGAAAACCCGTTATTGCAAAATCCTCTTATATGGCTATAAGTCATTCTTAGAGTATTTACAAAAAAACAAAGCTCAAATAGGACAATTTTTAAGGACTACAAGGCAAACTTGAAAGATGTAAAAAAAACCGGATTTTGATGAATACTCATTTGTAGAACTATAAGTCTGTTTCAACAGTTAGGTAAAAACCAAGATGTGCGAAAACTAATTTATAAGACTATAAATCAATTTTGACGTTAACAATAAAACCCTTAGTAAAAAATATATGTTATTTAAAATAAGAATAGAAACAACTTTTGCTAGGAAGACACCTTTAAATTCTTAGTCAAACACGAGTTTAAAATTTAAAAAAATGGGAAAAAAATAAAATAAATAGTAAAAAATAATATGTTCGCTCAGGTATGGGAGAATATGTTTGAGCGTATGAAAACCCCCATAACACGTTCATTGTACTATACATCTTATATGACTATAAACATGATTTTTTTTAGATAACAAAAGAAATAGATATTTAAGTTCTTGAACATACGCTGCTTCACCAAAGAGTGATTTTATGTGGAAAAACCTGCTTTTCACCTCGCCATTTTTAGTGTTTCTCAAAAAGTAATTTTCTATTTATTTTTTTGCGGTTGTTTTACTTCACGTAGAATTTTGTTCCTTGAGGAGTCATGAAAAACGTACTATCATACATTTCTTGCAAATCTAACAATTTGTTTTGTTAGGTTTTCACGAATCCTGTGTTCGTGACGAGGCATACTTTATTGGGCATAATCATTTTGTTGGTCCATGCCGCTTAATTCTTGGATGCGGTCCGTGAGAAGGAGAGCATGCACAATATTCATAGCCACCCCTATTAGCCCAAGAAGCTCCCTAGCCCAAGAAGCTCCCTGGTGGTCCAGTGGCTGAGACGCAAGCAGAAAAACGTTCATAAGATAGCATTTCAGCCTCCTCTCTTCTGGTTGGCCAGACTGCTATCTTAATGGCAGACAGGCCTGGAAGTAACCGAACAGCAGTAAGGGCGTCCCTCCTCTGCATAATAAAATCCTGCAGGGGGAACCATAACACCCTTGTCGCACGCCAATTCTGAAAGGACGCAGAGACTTCATTTAAAACTAAAAAAATAAGATGAAGCATAATTTTTCCCCTTCGGGTAGTGTTGCCACATGACGGCCTAATTTGCGTTCTGGCAGAGCGGTGCAAGACCCTATCTGGCTCAAGAAACGACTGTTGACTGACTCCACTGAGTATTCATCTGATGGAGCCCCTTCAACAAGAATTGTGGGTACTCGGAAGGACTCATCCTCATCCTGTAGGGTGAGTATAACGATCTGTTGTGGCGAATTCAAACAAATCAAGGGTACTAGATGCTCTTCTATAGGCCCCTTGTCTCTATCCGTTGTGCTTAGGGTAACCATTGGATTAACACTTAACAACGATTTTTTAGCTACTCTCGAAGGACGACATCGCTTATTATTAGAAGTCTTTTGCAATCGAGGGATGCTTTTTGGTTCCCCTAAGCATTGCTCCTCTACCGTACGGATGGGGAAATTATTCTCAGCCCTAGATTTCTTGTTAGGGGTGAGCATTACTGCCTGATCCAAACCGACTGTCTGATCAAAGAGAATTCCCCCTTCGTCGAACAACCCAACAACAAAAAAGTCTAGGTTTTCCTGGGGGTCGTCGGCCCGTTTTTCAAAAGGGCTAATAGATGGGGAACTTGACCGTCCAGGCTCCCACTCTTCAACCTTTCTCTCAAATTCCAAATCGGAGGAGTCTGAGTAAAAAGTAGTCCAAACTTTCTCCTTCTCTAATACCCCATTAGAGGAGGAAGGGTCAACACAAGCCTTGTCTTGTTTCTTCCCATTGTTCACCTTCTGCCAAAAAATGAAGGAGGGGGGGGTTGTAATCGCTTGTTCAAATAAGAGAGAGTTTTTTTGCAATTCAGTGTTAGACCCGATTGGTGAGGGGTGGAGAGCTATGTGTCCGAAATCGGATTCAACAGGGGTTTTGAGTTGAACGGTTCAACTCCCATTCAACTCCCGTTTCAACTCCCCGTTGAACCGAGTTGAACGTGGTACAACTCGACCCGCGGATTTTTGTTTTGCAGGCAAAACATATGTGAAAATAAAAATAAAAAAATAGGGGTGTAGATTTTTTTGCTCTCTACATCCCCGTATTTTTATGTTTATTTTTTTAGCATTAAAATTATTTTTAAAAAAATAAAAAACAAAACCAGACTCAAAATAGATAGTTTTTTTTTTTTTTTTTTTTTTTTTATAGAAAAAACAACCCGAGAGGATGCTAGGGGTGCTGATAAGAGCAGACACCACTAGCATGCTCGAGGAGGCTCCGTCTATTGGTGGGGAGCAGCACCTGCTGGAAATCGGGTCCAGCGTCCCTCAACAATTATATCCAGGTGTACCGTATCGCACCCGAAGACATGTTAATATGCCACGTGTCGATGCAACAGAATGCGTATGTAATCAACCGAGGCAACACGGTAGCATAGTCTATCCTAAAAGCAGCATTGAATGCCTCCAAACGAGGGGATTAACTGCTCATCACGGTTAGAACAAAATCCTTGTTCCAAAACCCTCATCGTCCGCTCATCAAAACGTTCGCAGCACGGTGAAAGAGAGAGGTAATCAGAACAGGAAATCAGACGAACTTATTATGGCCAATTCAAAAATTATCACTAAATATCTCTCACAAATCTATCCTGAAGTCGCCATATCCCCCAACGATCCTCATGATCAGTGGTTCGCGTCACAAGGAGGAGGGACCATTCCATTCCGCAACGGGAAATCATCTCCCAACTTTGAAGCCCTCGTCAAGATCTAACAGGCTCTTGCACAATTGTGAGAGGGGAGGGAATTCGAGGAAGGGATATATAGTTTACCACGTTGAAGTTGACTATTACCACAGTGCGGGAAAACAGAGATACAGTTTACCATGTCGAACCTCAGTGCGGGAAAACAGAGGACCGACGATGAAGTAGCACCATCACGTAACTTGCCCGATCGGATCAAATGAAACACAAACCTACCTCCTACGAACCAGTCCCCCTGCTCATATGTAAAGTCGATGAAACTGTGAATTTCAGATTCAAAACCGAAATCACACTCAAGCAGCAATCAGTCCCCTCATGACGCCTATCGAGCTACTCAACAGAACCATTATTGTAAACAACCGCAAAGGAGTCCAGATCACGAATAATACTCAAAAAAGGAGGATTGACAAAAGCATGCTCCCGCTGTCATGCATCCCCTGCGGCACCGCTTCAGTCATCCACCACCCTTTTTCTGTCCCACCCCTCCCTCAGTAGAGAGTTTACCCCACCCTACAACCCTTCCCCCCGACCCCACCCTGATCCCATGAAAGAAGCGGCATGTCATACCCCGCAATCGATGAGCCCCCAATCATCATAAACCTGCCCAAAGACGACCCTCCCCCAACGAGCTCGCCTTTCCCAAACACAGCAACGGTCATACCCCCCTTGAATTCGATATTAGCACCTCCATTGCTAGCATCCTGTCTGTCTCGGACACATGCACGAAGCTCACCTTCGTCGCTGGTATCATGGTGCTTATCGGTATTGTTGTTGTTGCTACAATCGTCACCACTAATGTTGATATCACGTAGTATATTACTATTGTTGTTGTTTTCACCGTCGAGGACGTCATCATTCCCAGGYACGCATAAACGCGAGATCGGACCACCCTTCCCTCTATTGCGCACCGTGTGGACAACTCCGAACTTGATGTCGTTATTATCGCCCTCATTTATATCGTTGTCATTATTGTTGTTGTCGTGAGTGATGTTGAAATTGCGATCGCCAACGTCCGCGTAATTGTCGGTATTGTAGTTATGGTCATCGGCGATGTGGTTGCTGGCTTGGCCGGGATTGTTGTTGACATAGCTGCCGGCCGTACTTGCATCGTTACCAACGGCTATGTGGTTGCTGGCCTCACCGGGATTGTTGTTGACATAGCTGCCAGCCACAGTTGCATCATTTTTGGGATTGTTGTTGACATAGCTGCCGACCACACTTGCATCCTTACCGACGGCGATGTGGTTGTTGGCCTCACCGGGATTGTTGTTGACATAGCTGCCGGCCACAGTTGCTTCGTTTTCAGCATCGTTCGTGAAATCGTCCTCGCCGTCGAAGTATCGGGCCTCCAACACAACATTCAGAGCTTGCCCCTCCTCAAGCTCCTCATAGTGGCGCTGCAACACAGTATCCCATCGTGGCCAATCCAGACACGCTTGCAGGTGGGGGGGGGGGGCCTCCATCCCCCTTGATATCTCCAATAGAGCCTGCATCGCACTCCGGAGCCACGGAATCGACGGAACCCCCTCTGCAGCAGCCGCCGCTCTTAACTCCCCCACCGCAAGGCTGAACCGCTCACTAGTCTCCTGAGCAGCTGCAAGCCACACGGCCGCTCCTATCCGCAGATCACCCGAAGTCGCCATCGCCACTCACCATACACTTATCACCCCCAATTGTTTCGCCCCACGTCACACACCCCTGCACACCCTAGTCGTACCCCTCCTCACTAACCCTGCCCTTCTCAGAAGGTCCAAAGAAGACGCGCCATGTGGCATGCCACTGGGCAGATCGGAGGCCACGTCACAAGGCAGAGAAACCGCCCGTACGTGTCGCACAGGGAGTAGACCGAGCCGTGCCGACCGATCCCCGACGGGGGACCAAGGCGCAGGCGGTCGGACTTGCAGCTTCCGATTAAAGAAGGGTTGGTAACATTGCTTCCTGCTGGTGAGGAGGCCAAGCTGGCGGGATTGGATTAGGGCACGCACACACACACACACACACACTCACTTTCTTTCACCCAAGTTGCGCGGGCGGGGACCCCGCCCAACTTCGGCGCAAGTGAGTGTGTGTGTGTGTGTGTGTG